GCGGCTGAATCGCGTTGTACTGCAGTCGTTAGGCTTTTATATGACGTTCAGGTTGTCGCAGCCCACGAGACCTTCCGAAACGAGGGAGGTGTATCGACTCAAGTCCACAAGATATCGGCATGATCCCATGTAATTAATTTGAAGGGTACTGGTCCAGAGGGGCATTACTTTGAACTGTGGAAATGTGATAGACTTTGTCTCATTCTTCGCTCGGAAGATTTTGTGGGAGGTCGTTCTAGAGGATTTTGTGTATGCCTTTGCAGGACTGAGAAGCTGGAGACGTATATCACGATCTGGTTCAGCCTTAAGCGAGGCGCAGACATGACACAGCACCCTCGATAAAAACTTTTCCTTTCTGTTCCCCTAATTACCCAAGTACAGGCAAATGGAGGCGATCTGCTCGTCCCGGCCCGCGTCGGGCGGAAGAAGTTGGCACGTTGGACCGAAGGCTGGGCCAGAGGCACCGGAATTGCCTGCTTGGCGTGGCGGCAAGACGGCCGGCTCCTGTTGGCCGGCCTCTGGGACGGGACTGCAGCCTTAATGCTGGACACACTCTCTGATGATGAGGTCTCACCACCAGACGCACTGTCGGGTCTTAAGGACAAAGCAGACCTCAGCTACACTTCCGTCACCCGTGCTTCCACCCTCGACGCCACGGGAGAAGGGAGATTGGCCTCCTGGTGGTCATCCGATAGGATCAGGTTGCTTGGTCATCTTGCGGCGCCCGGACGAGGCTCCTTTGAGCCGGTATTCACTGCTGGCCCTCGTGGAGGCGCTGGGGGTTGTTTGTTGGGCGAGTGGGCTTCAACGACCGCCCTGGCTGCCTGGCGCTCGGCGAGCAGCAGTTCGGAGGGAGGCAAGGGCGGTTTTAAGGATATTATATCTCGATCCGTCCGAGCCAGTATTTTCACGCTCGGCCACAGGTGGCTGGTTACTGCGGCTCCCGCGGTTTCAACTGGTGGTCAGGGCGGTCTCTTCGTCTGGGACGTCTATCGCAAGCGGGAGACTGTGTCTGCGCGGTGATCTAGCCACGACTAAACTTTGGTGGACTGACTCAGATGCCTTCTTTAAGGCTTCATTGCTATGTTTATATCATCCATTATCCCTGGAATTTTGTCGGGCTTGCTTGAGTGGATGCACTCGACTAGTCAGAATGAAGTGCGTTTTCGCGTACACACTTTGCCATACCTGCACAAACATACAAAATCACGTGTAAATATGTACGCGAGTGAATGAGTTTCAAAATCTGTACATAAATAGATTTTTACAAATTTTTACATGTTTTTTCATTTACATATTCACAAGTCATACTTAAGAGGAGGGTTTAAGAGACTCCTGGCACTATCCAGTTTCACGAGGACTCTGGAGACTCACTCACCCTGGCAACCATTAATTTCCTGTATTTATTTACTAGCCTCAAGCCAATCAGGCACTGTTTTTCATAGACACTCGCTTCCTTGAAAACTAAGATAACAAGTTTTTTCCAATTTATTC